GACAAATGGTAGGGCATAATAGATTGGCTAATGGCCAACGGGGACGGGAAAATGCCATACTAATTTAGAAAATTCTGAAATAATTTAACAAATAAAATGTATTTATGGATGTAACCGAGAGATCCTAGAATTGCAAATCCTCCACAGCCTTCTTGTTTTTTTCTTCCTTTTCGTTCTTTTCTTCTTCCCTACGATACAATAGGGACAAAATTGATGGGTAATGGTAATCAATAATTTATGTTTGTTCCCCTTCCAATGTTCTCTGCATTTGAGAAGGGAAGCTCTTGATCATTATTTACTTTCAGTTTTCAATTTTATTGGGGGAACTTGTGAACCATTCTATATTGCTATGCTTTAATAGAAAGAGGCTGGTATATTTACATCAACAAATGAGAGGAATTGTAAAGACCTTGACGTACGTAGTTCATGACATAGTAATAATGTAAGTCATGCTAAGTCATGCTACATCAATTGAACTTGTCAATTTTGGTAGAACTTCGTGCTTGTCAGTCCCAAAGCAACGAGAAATAAGATTTTTCCACTAGCCCTAATCTGCAGGCAAACGTCTTGTGTTTTTTATAACAAGATATACCATGAATTCATTCATGTTGGGATCAGAAGCATTTTGGGTAAAATAACGTTTGAATCGATATCACCGTTCCATGAGCATCATACGAAGTACTCCGTAGTTTATTTTTTGTAAAAAGACAAACAAGCTGTTCAATGATGCGTGACATTTCTACTGCAGTAATATACCCCACCAGAAAGAATTTATGTCCACTCAATAATTTGTCGTCAAAAGTACTTTCACAGTTAGAGCTAGTAAATGGCTTGGTAAGACCATTGATTAGTTGGATTTTGGGGCCCGACTAGCATTAAAGCCTTAATCCATAGGCAAAATCTTCAGGAAGAGATCCAGCACGTTCCCTCTCTAGCCTCTAGTGTTTTTCCTGGCCTCATTTTCTTTTCTTCTCTTTTCTTTCCCCTACATGTTCGATTAGGTTCCATTTCAAGACCAGCTCTTTAGGACATCTGTTTCGTGAATTTCTAATCTCGATAAAAATGGCTACTTTTAATGGGATGGAAGAAATAGATTTAACCATGATTGGTTTTAAAAAATATCACTTGATTATTGAATAAAAGAAATTGCAACTCAACTTTGTGATGTAGAGTCAAATATTTGATCTTTCTATTTTCATTTTTTTGGACTCAACAATGAAGCATCCTGATAAGTTTTTGTAAACTTAATTTTTTTTTACGGTCATATTTTAAGCACATAATTCATATCCGAATTGGGGTACTGACATCATTAAATTTTTTATTTCATTACTTTTGATCATCATATTTTAAGCAAATAATTTATACCCGAATCGGTGTATTGATATCATTAAGTTTTTCATTTCTTTACCTTTGATGGTCGCTTTTTATGAATCACGATGACAGTTGGAATTTTAAGGGATCGGCCTGGTTCAGAAGGTTTTTTCTTTTCTTTCTGTATTTAAAATTTTGACAGCAGTATTTTTTTTGAACGCACGAGGCCGGTGCAGAAAGTGTATTTCATTTAAAAGATTTTTTTTTTTCAATGCATGAGGCCGCTGTAGAAAGTGTATTTTCAATATCGTTTGATTAAAGATTTAAAAAGTAGTTTTTTAAAAAATTGTCAAATAAAAATTTTATTTTCAATTTACATAAAAATTGTTCTAAATATAACTTTTTAATGAAAAAAATACAACTAAAGAGCCTGGATGGCTAACTTCTTCAACTTTACATGGCTGTCGTAACAGATTTCCTAGTTGAGGTAGGATTAGCAACCGCGGGGGAGTTCAAGAGTGATGTTGCAATCACACATTTTAGACTCTTGTAGCCATCACGTACCTGACATAAAGACAAGTGTTTGGCAGGTATATGTTGATCGCCCAAACCCTGCTGACGATGCACCATGAATCAGCATGATTATGTAATTACATTTTTGGCTTTCGCTGTGTCGACACATGGCCCATAGAACAACTTCTTGTTTTTTTTACCCATCCAGGGGAGGTTCTAAGCATACCGACGTTATGCGTTAATCCGAAAACTGTAGTCAGTTTGAGTTGGCGGTGGTTTCTCTCTTACGGCTATTTTTTTCGTACCAAGGGACCACAAACATCCCCATACCCCCCCGGCGGCCGGCGGCGGCGATGGTGATGATGAGCATATTAGAAAATCATACTATATATAATGCATTTTTTTTGGCTAGAGGTCCCAATTCGTGAAGCCTTGGCCTTGTAATACCTTCAAGTAGCTGTTTTTTAATGTTTGCATAAAGATTAAAGAGATAAAAAATTGAAACTACGACAGTGAAATCATTGGAAAGGGAAGCTGACGGTTTTAGCTCTTATCATTTTCCATACGAAATCTCCACTGGTCCTCGACTGTACAGTAAGTTTTGCGTTTTCATAGGCTGGCTTGTGCTCTCTCTCGTATTGGGATTATAACCCATGGACCATTTAGAATCCAGGTTTCTGGGCCATCTTCCAAGACCAGCGTTGGCACCATATGAATTTGTGATTCTGTGAACCTCGTAATTCTTTTCCCTTCCGTGACAAATTTACCCTTCGTTAACCGCGTCAGCCTAAAATTTGAATTAGATTTGGTAAATCATGATTCCATCCATGTACACCAATTGTTTGCATTATTTTTTGGAACTTGTAACCATTGTGAGATATGAACTCATGTATACCACCGTAATGGTTAGAAAGCATATCATAATACTATTTGAAATTATATCTCAAAGTAGTGAGGTGGTTGTTAAAACTCCAGACCTTCTGGAGCCAAATCTCATTTTAACATTATAATGTCAAAAGGTATAAACCTAGAGTCAAAATTCAAAATCAACTAAAAAACTAAAAAAAAATGATTGATTACTGTAGCATTACTATTTAAACTACTATTCACGCTCTCATAATTTTCTCGTCATCTTCTCACATTTCACTGTGCATTTTACTATTCATGTCTTTTTTTACACTTTGATTTCTAATATTTTCGAAAGCACATTTTGATCTATATGTTTATTTGTTCATCCATTTTGATCCTTGATAGTTTCAAATCATTAAACAATTAGAGGAGGTAGATCGGAACCAAAAAAAAAATCCGATTTGATTTTGGATTTTTCTTGTTTTTGTGTATTAAAATAATTTTTAAGGTTTTAGATGTGTTTATTGGCTTTATTACGATCGTTTAGAGGTGTTGGGAAAAAAATGATGCTGAAATTTAATTTTTAGGAGTCGAAAAGTTGACCCTCGATTTTCCGACCACCTTCGGGCGACCTACGGTTCTCCGAAAGTTATAGAGTTTTTTTTTTTTTTAGCAGGCAAGCTCGGCGCATGGGCCTGCAATGGCAGGCCCAAGCTCACCGGCATGCTTGCACAAGCAACCACACTAGCCTTCCTCAATTAATTTTATTTTTTTTAAAATTATGTGCAGCCTAGTTGCACAAGCCAATCAAGCGCTTATATATATATATATATATATATATATAGAGAGAGAGAGAGAGAGAGAGAGAGAGAGAGAGAGAGAGAGAGAGAGAGAGAGAGAGAGAGAGAGAGTATATCTAATTATATTAATTTTATTGTAATTTAGCCCATTTGTTTTAAGTTGTTTTATTATTTTTATTATTTTAAATCTATAAATTTAATTTGTCATTTGTTTTCAAATTCTTATTCAATTAATTTAAAATTACATGGTCCTCAATTTTTTTATACAATATATTTTTTTTAATTCCAAAATTTAATGATATTATAATTTGATCATATTTTGTTTTAGTGTTTTTTGTTGATTATTTTTATTATTTAAAATCTACTACTTTAATTTTCATTTTTTAAAAATTCTCATCCATTTAATTTTAAATTACATTAAAAACTTTAAAATATTTTTTTCATGTTTGATTTTATATATTTGTATACATTCACATCATAAAACATATTATCGAATTAAAATGATTTTTCTAAATAATTTTAGATATTTTATTCTACCCGTAATGTAGCACGAGTAAAAAACCTAATATGTAACTATACTAACATTAACTTGCTGGTGTGAAACACACCTTAAGATGTATCATCAAGTTTTTGTATCAAAATATATAAGATTGTTGGTGTACTACTAACGAAGTATCAAACTTTGAACAGCCAAAAGGAGTCTCACGCTGGCCATTTTACTGGCAAGTTCTACCTGGCACACCTTAATGCAGTACTTAATAACCAGAGAAATTAAATATCATGAAAAATTTTCTAATATGCAAAGAAAACTTATTGTACATATCACTCAATAAACAAAAGAGAGAGAATTAAAAAAACAAAGAGCAAAGGTAAACATATTTTTATCATTTTATCACTTTCGGTTAATCCAAAATATTTATCTCTCTCCTCAAAGTGGATTCATGAATTGATTATTGTACATGTTACTAATTAGTCCTTGTATATTATAAAATTTCTCCGGATATCACCACCAAATGTTATCATATATGGCTATATGCAAGATTTATGTATCACATAGAGGCTGTAACAAAGAAATCCCCCACCAAATAAAACAAAGCAAGTGATCATAGCAGGAATAATTAAGTCAAGACCATTTCTTTCCAGAGCTAAGGCCAGAGCATAGCATCATTTAAAGGCCAGGTGTATATGAAGTACAGAGCGCAAATTCTACATCCCAATTGGCTCCATCAACAAATAAACAATTTATACAGGCCATCAAGTGATTCAATAAATCTTGAGTTACAAATTCAGTTCTCCCTTTATTTAGATGTTGGCAACAAGCTACATTAAGCAACTTCATGTGGGGATAATACAATCAGTGAAATTGATCGAGCATCTATTTAAGCCTCTAATACAATCAGTGGAATAGATAAAGCATCATACAAGAACATGAACAGGCAAAAGCAAAGCTAGGACCCTTGACAGACATAATATCAAAGATAACAAAACTGAAAATTCGGACGAAGAAACTAAGTTCAAGTCTCCTCCTCACAAACAAACTTGAAAGGTAGCATTATCAGACTTCTCATCTTGATCAAGCATTTGGATAACATCAGCCACCCCAGCTGCAATTTCTCTCAGAAAGCTATTCTCAGCCCACTCAAACTTCTTACTCTTCAAGAAACCTAATTTCCCAGGAGGATGAGGGCCTACCAAATCAAGCATTGCCTCCAACTCATCCAGCATTGACCTCCTCACCGCTCGAACCATAAGATCAGCACCCTTTAAAACAACATATAGAACAATTAACTACAAAAACAATCTCAAAACTCGACAATTTTTCAGACAACATAGCTAAGGGTAAGACTCGAACTCAAAACTTGCCTGAATGGCATCGACAGAGAGGAGAAGCGCGATGATCCTCTCAGCAAAGCGCTTACGCTCCTCTACATCACGGGCTATGCACCTTCGGTAAGTGAAGTTGTTAAACAGCGTTCTAATCTCATTTAACTTAGCTTTTGTGATTGCCAACTCACGTAATGATTGAAGCGCTTGTGATCGACGGATCAGATAGGTCCTGAAGCCCACCTGTATCATCAATGCTGCAGCTTCTGGGCTCAGTATCTTCGTTTTCCCTCTTGCTCTAGCCACAGCTTCGGCTCTCTTAGCAAACGCCTGTGAAAGAAAAAACAGCTGAAGCAAATTGCTTGTCGTTTGTTGTATTTTGGTATTTGGAGGTTGATCGTCACTGACTTACCTGTCGCAGATAGATGGCACCTTGATCTAGTGGCTCTTCAATCTCCACAAGACGCGTGGCCTTCTTCTTGTCTTTTGTACAGACTACAGCACCAGATTCTGGCTCTTTGATCTTGATCGAGACTTCCTTGTGTTTTTGCCCTTTGTCATGCTTCTCCCCTTTGATCTCAGCCGACCACTTGTACTTCCCGTCAAAACCAATCTTCTCCGGACTCTCTATCTCAGCTGTATATTTATACTTCCGATCAATCTCAGACCCCTTGATCTCAGCCGTCACTTTGTACTTCTGGCCAAGCCACTTTTTCTGTGGACACTTAATCTCATCCGTCCACGTGTACTTCCTATCTGAAGCATCATTAAAAACCGGGTGAAATGCCTCCAAATCCAAAACAGTGACCCGATCATACAAGCTGGTTGACCCAGAAGTGGACCTGATCGTCCTATAACATGACGAAAATGGGGTTCTTCTCTCAAAGTGGGCTAAATCTAAAACATTGTCAAAAAGCTCAAAAGTTGAAGAAATGGCATCAAAGAGGGGGTAAGAGAGATGGGGTTCTCGATAAACCATAGTGTAATCTAGTAAAGATAGTGAGGGTTCAAGAAGTTCGATATTTGTGAAGAGGGGCATTGTTGTTGTTGTAGGGTTTTTGAGTTGGAGATTGTTTGGACTTTTGAGGTTTTTGTTTAGAAGGTGCCGGGGCAGGAAGGAAGCGAGGGAAGAGGTTAAAAAGGTTAAAAAAGAGTGGTGATTAATGAATATGACACAGATCAGAGAGTGAGGTGAGTTATTGAGTTTTTTAATCGGTTAGAAGCAGCGGCTAGTGAGGGTGATTCGTCGGTACGGATAAGATTTTATTTATTTATTATTGATGCTGACTGTTGGGCATCAAAGAAAATAATTATTGGAGTGTATACCAAATTCCCAACTCTATTTCCTAAGCTACTTGGTGCGTATCCGGAGTTAAAATCATATAAAATTATTTAAAAAAAAAAAAAACTAATTTAGTGTTTTTTTTTCCGTTGAAAAACATTTTAAAGTAACAATTTCAATTTTAATACAAAATACACATTAATATGTTTCAGGGAGTCCACCATAACACGTTGAGATTGAAACTTGAAGAGAATTTTTAATTGCCACCAAGTGATTTTTAGTTATCTTTCAATGATGTGTGTTTTTACTACTTGTAATAATCAAGTAAAAATATTAAGAGGTGGATTGGATGGTCAAGGGAATTTATTTATTTATTTATTTAAATTGAGTTTGAATTTTGAGACCAATTTATTTAAAGATTATTATTTCTTTAATGTCAGGAACTCTTAAAATAGTTTAGAAAAAAATTTTAATTTTGATTGATGTATAAACTAATTGAAACATACTTTAATCATTGAATATGAAAAATAATAAGAAAACCCACTAATTCAGCTTTGAATTTTCATAAATTTGACAAATAAATCTTTGTGTTTTTAAACGAAGTTAATTCAACACGTGTTTATAATTTCGATCAATTGATTATGGTTTTTTAAAATCAATAATAAAGTGGGTTCCTTTAAATCTCCGCTAAAGTGACACCCACTGTACGGATGATTGATGATCAAGTTTAACTTCACGTGATCAAGCTTTACGTATTAATCGGTATATCTTGACTTATTGAAGTTAATTAAAAAGTTATGTTTTTTTTTAATCGAGAGTTACATAATGAAGAGTAATTTTCTCTAATTACATATTAATCAAATAAATTAAAGTTATTAGAACTTAAATTTGATTCATTAAAGAAAGTTACTAAATACACAAATACACAGCTAATTAACTATGCTTGTTGGTTTGGATTAAAAGGATTTTAAAGAGCAAAAAAAACAACAGAACACTCCACATTCCAAGACAATTTAAGGCAAGGGGGAAACAACTCTATCAGAGTTCCCCCTAACAGTCAGCAAGTTGAAGACATTTATTATGGCTTTTTTTTTTTTTTTTTTTTTTTTTTGCGTTGGTGAGATTAGCATTGATAATGTCAAACCATATAAAGACTAGTACATTATTACTTTTAACGTGGTTGCATTGGGTTCAATCACTTCAGGCTTCGTAAAAAGGTTTAGGAAAGACAGATCCCTATGCTAACCAAAGATGGTATGTGAAATTCATACAGCATCATCATAAATACAAAATAATGGGAGCAAAAATGAAGTTATAAATCTAACAAATGTGATTTTGACAAATAAAAATAAGAAGAAAAACAGCAATTGGGTGATTTGTTGACATTCTTGAGCAAATCACCATGGTTAGGTGAGAAATGTCCTTTATGTGAATAAAAAAAGGATTTATTTGTAGGCATCCCTCGCATAACTTAAAGTTCGACCACACTTGACGTCATTTAAAAATATCAAATCCTCAACCTTTGGTAATGACGATACCTTTCAAAGTCCCCCGTCCCAAGGGATAGATTCTCTATACATCTGCGAAAAATTAGAAGGAGCGAGAGAGAGAAAAATAATGTCACTTTTTTTTCTTTATGATATTTTTATTTTATATTAGAAATAGGATTAATTAAGTCTGGATTAAAATGATAAATTTAATATCTCTCAATAAATATGATTTTACAATTCAAATTTGATATATTAACAAAAAAATTTATCTAAAAATCAATTTATTTATTACTAAATCAATAATTTATTGATAGAAAAATAATGTCTTGCGTTCAAAAAAAATAATCAAAAGATAACAATTATGGACAATCTTATGAGTTGACTCCTGATTAAACACTGAAACAAGCAAAACAAAATTTCTAAAACATAAAAAAAAATTAAATTCATAAGCATAAATTTTTCAAGTTCATTCGGAGCTTAAAATCAAGCTGAACAATGCCCAGAGGTACAATAATGCCTTCTATAGATAGAGCAAGAGCAACAATTAATGAACAGTAAGGCATTATATATCAAATTTAAAATCCATAACGACTGTGGATTGCAAAGGCTGGTCTTTTTTTATATCTTCACACTTTATACATGCAAGGATTTGTCAGAATTCGTTTTTTTTTTTTTTTTTTTCAGAAAAAAAAGTCAATTTGAGTTTGAGTCGGAGACCCGGAGAGTTTCATCCTTTTACATATATATAAATGAAAAATAATTTTTTAAAAAATAGAATAATTTTCGATAATTGGTTGTATGAAGGAATATGAGATGGAAACTATTTTTCGGTGTTTGATCGTGTAAAAAAAAAAAAGAGCTAAAAAATAACAGTTTTGAGTTATTAACTTTTTTAAAACAATAGAATGTTTACCGATCAACTTTCTCTTCAGCCTCATTTATTCGTTGAAAAATAAATTATGAGAAAAAGAAAGAGTTTATTATATTTGGCTGTGGAATAAAAAGCGAGTTGAAAAATATTTTAATATTTTTTGTCTGCACCAAAAATCAAAGGTAAATTATAATACTTTTTTGAAGTATCCTGGAATTACAAATGCCATCTAAAAGTACATAAAACCATTCTATGTTTTAAAAAATAAAATACCATTAATTTCTATTTAAAAATTATAGTTAGTTAAGAACTTAAAAAAAAAAAAATTAGAGAAGAAATATAAGAAAACAGGACATGATTTTTTTAGTACATGAATAATATTAATTTTATTACTTGATTTCTTTCAATTTTGTTTTGAGTTTTCTTCTTAATATTCTTTCTTGAATTTTTTAAATTTCTTAATTTAACTAGTGTTTTTTTGTATTAGAAAGAAATCGTTATTAAGGGTATTTTGAATATAATAAGAATTTTTGTCAAATCAACTCAAACTTTTGGATAGTTTCGGTACTTCCTCCATACATCAAGAAAATTATTATGATTTATCCAAATGTCAATTCCATAAGTTAACATATAATATGCGAAACGTAAAGTATTTTCCACAATTAAAAAAATTATTTAAATATAAATAATCCATGATGCTAATAAAATATAAATTAATTTTTAATGTTGCAAGTTAAATATTTAAAACAATAATTAAAAAAAAAGGAAAACGAGGTGAGAAGTAGTATAGAATGAAAAAAAAAATACAAAACAAAGAATTTTTAGTTTACAAAAAATGATGAACAATAAACTTCAAAATAGTAACATAAAAATATAAATAATGATTTTAAACATGCAATATATTAAAGGACCATTTTACTTAAAAGGTTAAGCTGATAGGTGAGGTTTCAAAATATAATTTATATTAGTCTCTAACATACCTCCTCAAGTGAAAGCTCTAACATTAGGGCTTGAAACTTACACGAGTCTATATTGTCTTGTGCTTAATACTTGATGCTTAATATTTGAGAAATGAGGGATAGTGATACTTGAACTCGGGACTACATAGTCAATTAAACTCGATATCATATCACCTAAAAGTTTAAGCCGATAAATAAGACCTTAGAATATAATTTATATTAATCTCTAATATATAAAGTAAAAAGTGTTTTTTCAAGCTTAAAAGAGGAAAACACTTCACTCTCTAGTAGTGTTATGTTTTTCTTCGAATGAAAAACACTTTTCGTTAATTTATTTTCAAGATATCACTAAAACTGAAAAGCATTGAAGGTGTTTCCCAAAATAACACTTTTCAAAATAAAATAACACTTTCTTTCAAACAAACAACGCCAAATTGGAAACCAATTTCATTGAAATGGGTCCTTTCGCCCAAAACTTTAGGTTAGGCCAACTTTTCGTGGGCAGATTAGATATTTCTCATCATGATATATTACCAAGCGTCCTTGGGTGCATGGATCACAAAACCGAAGGGAAGGCACTCGGTACTGCTGCAGATAAAGTAAAGGGATTTGCCTACTTTCAGAGAAGATCCCAAGCTAAGTTAAGGGAATGAAGCATTCATCATTACACCAAAAAAGCGAGTAATATTCTAATAATTTTCCTTTCCTTGATCTATACTGTTACAACTGTACTTTACTACTTTTTGTCGTTTGTTGTCTCATGGAGTTTCAAAATATATAAAAAAAGATGGTTTAAAATGAAAAATTCCATTCTCAGCCACTTTCAAGTAGAGGAGGAACAAGAAACAGATTTCTTTATTTTGAAGAAATTATGACCATTATAAAGGAATGTCTGGTCAATTTCAACCCGGATATTAAACTAAAAAAAATTAGATAAACTGGACAAAAATCATAAAACTAAAATAAAACTATAAGATTTAGTAGTAAGAATATTAGATATGGATTTATTGCGAATAAAAGGGACAAGGAAAAAAAAAAAAACCTTGCTCCAACCTAATCAATGATTGAATTGTTCTGCCAGAATAAAATTATTATTTATTTCATAACTCTTAATCTTAACTATAATATATAATAATTAAATTAAGAAGACAGGCGGATTCTCTATTATTGTATACTCTCTTCTTTGTTATACTAATTAAACCCCTAAACTCATAAAGGTCAAGAACTCCACCACTGTTGTGCCAAACAGCCAAACACCTGCTAAGACTTGACATTGCCACCATTTGATCCATCCCCAAAATTGAACTCCCTAAAGCACAAATTTTGCAATATATTGTTCACTTCAAAGGTAACTAATATTTTGATAAACCATATGGAGTAAAGTACATAATAAAACAATGAACAAAAAACTCAGCTAATACCACTACCCCATTTCTGTCGAGGAAATTATCTTCATCGTTCAACCTCATAAACGTAAAGCCCATCTGTAACGATGGAACATGAAGCCTTTCGAAAAGGCCTGCCTCCTCGGTTCTCCCAATATTTCAAACCCAATATATATATATATATATATATATATATATTAACTTACAAACCTATCTCAATGTTTCTAGACTTCTTCTCTCTTTTTTGTTCTCCTTTTTACGTATATGCTAAGTGCCTCTGTTGCCTACAGGGAGCATAGCAGCTATGGCTTAATTTCCTCTGGATTTGAATAATGGTCGTCCATATTGTGCCGAGACTTAATTATTAACATCAAGACTTCCCCAAAATTTAGTTATCTAGGTAGCTGCCTTGCTCCATTTTATGATGCAAGGTTAGGGTTTTCTGCCCGAGAGTCAATTTACAACTTCATAGAATGAATCCAACCTCTATAGAGTTTTCTTTTTGGTAATTTGCAAGAGTCAACAAACTCCTGTTAATGGGACTCATTCATTCGAAGTGCTAGTAGCATTACAACTATAAATTATTGCGATTGTCACATCTAATTAAATCGTGAAAACTGCATATAAAGAGTACTTTTTATTAGGCATTAAGCAAGCATGAATCACAAAATGAATTAATCCTGCCAAATATCTACCACCAAATGAACCTAATAAGCTAATGTTACAAACCAGGATGTAACCACCGGTCCGTATCAGCCAAACTAAAGGCAGGAGTAGGAAAACATTTAATCTCTCCGTGCACTCTTTCACCTGCCATCTTTCTCGTTCTCAATGTTTCACAAATATAACGTAGTCTCCTTGCTCTTATTTGCCTCGTTTTCGCTTCTTCCTGTGACTGAGCAATTGATCTCAACACTAGTAGCCTTTTCTTCTCTTTCATAGCTACATTATTAAGTGCCTCTGATATGTTGCTCAGGTCAAAAGAAGATTTATCGTTATTGTTATTTACAGGTGCTTCATCATCAAGAGCTTGTGAAAGAGCTGTTAAGTCGTAACATGAAGGTGAAGCAGTATTGCCTTCTGAACTTTTGGTACTTTCACTGCGATTTTTCTTGGACTCTGGTTTCATTGTGGCAGCTAGTGATAAACTTGCAAATCTGTATCGCATAAAATCAATTAGAAAAATCAAACAATAATGCCAATTTATGGTATCATTTTAGGGGAAAAAACCCCAAATTTAGCCTCATCAGGCCGTATTGGGTAAATTTGATGATTTTTTCTAGTGGAGCCATTTGCCAAATGACTCAAAGGGATTTTCCCCAAATCGACAAAAAGAAGAAGAAACAATCTATGGAATGAGTTAATGATACTACTCGTGGGTTAATTCACAAAAGATTCTTAGTACAATTAGATTAAATAATCATATCACTAAAACAAAATTTGGGGAAAAACCCTAAATTCCTTTATTTTCTTAGTTACTAAACAGAGGAGATTAAAGAGAGAACTTAAGAGAAGGCCCATGCTGTATACCTGAGTGATGCAGAAACTGAGTGATGCAGAAACTGAAGATTAGAGAGAAAATTAGGCAAGGAGAAACTAAGAAAGAGAAGGAGAGAAGCTTGTGGAGTGCTGCAATTGCAAAGTTGGGATTGCTACGGTTGCTTTAAAAAATTATAGTTTTCAAAGAAAAAATCAATAAATACTTCAAAACATTACAATTTCCAAAAAAATAAAAAAAATCCATCATTTATAGGGAGCTAGGGGCTATCCTTAAGTCGGTTTATATATTTCCTTCCGAATCCTAATTGGAATCTAACCAAACACGTTAAAGGCTGGATTGACATGAGTTTCAAGTGAGGTTCGGTTTGGAACGATTATGGGCCTAATATAGAAGCCCGTTTAACAAATATATATATATATATATAAAATAAAAGATTTTTTTATTTTTTATTTATTATTGTAGCTGTTGAAAGGATAAGTCTATATAATATTTTTTAATGAACGAATAAAAGTATAGTCATAACGTCAACTAAGCTCTGTATTCAGACAATGTGGCCAGTATAACTGTTACTATTGTTTAATGAATTATCAATAGGAGAGTATCAAATATATATGCAAATGCACGTCATTTACAAGAACTGTTTAGGCAAATGGACAATTTCCAACATGGAATTGCCCAGTTTGACTTCATAAAACCAATCCCTTGTGTATCAACTCACAAAAATATCCTGAGAGTTAACTACTCACCAAAATTACAAAGTATATATTTATTAAAGAGTCATCTTTATTTAAACTTTATAAGATAAGAAACCTAGATTGTGTTGCCTCTTCAAACTTAGTTTTATTTAAACTTTATAAGATAAGAGACCTAGATTGTGTTGCCTCTTCAAACTTAGTCTTATTAGATTTAGCCTCGGTTACTTTAACAAAATACCCACACGGACATTGTTTATCTGCATCTTTCATTCGTGCATATCCGGCATTCGTGGCCATAGACACCTCTCTTGCTCTCCTCTTCATACGAGGAGTGGAACGTGCAACTAAATGAAAAAAAGTACAAGTGAGAAATGTTATATTAAATCATTGTCAAAAATAACATAACATCACAACTTAATATCTCTCTTTACATCATAAACTATATGATCACATCAGATCAAACATCTATGGTCCTTCTAAATAATATCAAAGAGTTTTACTATGTGCATTTATAATTGTGGCTATATCAAATACTTTTATCTAACATAACCATTAATATGATTCAAAATAATTTTTCTTTAGCCCCTCGTATCAATTAATTTTGACTTGATCGTTTTTCTACACATGCTCAATTAGATTGCATGATTCATGACTCTTAGATAACAAGGTAAAATAGAGACATCAAATTTTTATTTCACGACATAGTTCTAATTCCTAGAAAATATCATAATAGATTTATAAAATCAATCATATAATTATATATTATCGGGGAGCTATCAGTGAAAGAAAAGAAGAAAAGAAATGATACGCTCACACACTATATGAACTTTGACTTGAGCCTAGTAGAATTTATATAGGGTTTGATTAGAGTAAATAATAATAATAATAATAAATAAATAAATAAACGAAGATAATGGAACCTTCACGCATGTATTAAATGATTTATACTTTATAGTCCTAATTAGAATCTCAGTAGGAGTCTTCTCACTCTCAAATTAAATCCAATTTAACCCCAAATTGCTTCACTTCGTTTTATTTTGGTTGGTTCTCCGTATTCAAACTAAAGTTATCATTCTAACTAGTTAAAGACAAGCCACTAGGCAGGGATTAAAATATTTATGATTATTTTTTTATTTTTTTATTTTTTAAGTGTGGTACGAAATTGAGACCTACAACTAAGAATGAGTAAGTTATAAACTAGTATTTTTAGTTTCCAAAAAAATAATTATTTAATCTCTATAGTTTAAAATTTTCTTGTAACATAATTTTTTGTTTATTTTCAATTTATTTGTTTTTTATCTTAATAAATAAATAACATGGAAGAATTGATGAGAAAAGATGAAAACTTTTAAAATAAAATACTATTAAACTAAGCACAGTCCACACTAGTTAAAGAATTTACTAATTAATTTTTAAAATAAAAAAGACATATATACACTTCAAAAAAATAAATAAAAAATATAGAAGGATTGATGAGAAAAGATGATATTTTTAAAAATAAAATACTATTAAATTAAGCATAGTCAATACTGATTAAAGAATTTAATAATTAATTTTTGTAACAAACAAATTAATTAACCCTCCTCGAAAATGAAAGGATGCATATGTAATTTACTCAAAAAAAAAAAAACCTCCTTAACCCTAAGGCCGCCAGTTCCAGATTAGGTTTGGGTCCCGTCCAGATTTGTGGTCTGGGCTGGAATAACCATAGGCCTAGTGTAGTCAGCCGACGCAACAAATAATGCGGAAGCCCTTAGTTTTATAGCACTTCTTTGGCCCGAAATCATGCCCTATTTTGTTATCGTTGACTTGATGTTGATGTTTTCCTATAAAAAATAAAAATAAAAATAAAAAAAGTGAAAAATAAATTAAATTTTGGTTCGTAACGAGAGAGACAAAATTAATTAATGAACCGGTTAAAGACTGTATCCTTATGGTGAAGGTCAACTACAGTTTTGATTTCAGACAAGGTGACAAGGACGTATAACCCACATGTTTAATCGAATCGATAATACGACACAACTAATGCATACGTACAAGTTGGATAAACAAATAATTAAGAGGAGAAGGCTTTGAAAAATAAGTAGTTGGATTGGATTATTAAGTGTCAATGGGGTCTCCAATTTTCATCCCTTTAAACAAGAAAGCCATGCTTCATACATTTTCTCACCAAACAAATTATATAATAGGCTTCATAATTTTGTTTTTAATCTGAACATATGACTATAGATAAGGTAGAACAATATTACAATCTTTCATATCCATACATACAAATTTGAAATCTGCACAAAAGAGGTGTCATTGTTGTGAAAAGGTCTAATTCTTTTTGCTTTTTAAGTGTCCCGAACTCAAAATATGTGTTGATTTTTCTCACTTCTCTCTGGGGTCTCAATTTTGACTCCATAAAAACTAACTAACCGCTAACCTCAAGCCACCTGCCCTCAAGGTAATGGCCCCAGTCTTCCCCAAGCAGGCAAATACATTTCGCGACTTGGCCCCGCCCTCGAGAGTCAACTTAAAACTTCGTGGAATCCAAACTACTCCTATAAAAGTGTGTCTTGGTTGGTACTTGTAATTGGAATCAACCAACTACCATGGGATTCGTTTATTTTGAAGCGCTAGCCCTACAGCTAATTGAGATTGTCACATCTAAATATTGCATTCATAACCTGCAGTGTGTTGTACATTTATTTGCTGAAATCACTCTTATTCTTAAAGAGCATCAAAATTTCTTCCCTACGGTTCTTTGCTGTCTTATAGCATATTCAATTGTGCTTTTATATCTTTAGTTAATATTTTTAATATAGATAAAAAATATTATTAATTATATAGATTGAAGATTAATATTTTTTTCAATATTATTTTTTATTTTAACTCTTTATTTTGATAAAATTCATAAAACTTAAAAAAATTATTCATGAAGGGATTGAGTGATATAAGAAATAATAATTTTCATTAATAAAATATAAGATAAAGCATCATTTGGACTCTTTAATATTGTAGAGTTAAAAACACTCTGTATCTTAATTTTAAAAATAAAAATTATGATAAAAAAATATTAAAAATAAAATTTAAATCAAAACTTTTTATTATAAAAAAAAATTAATATAAAAAAGAATTGAAGATGCTATTACAGACACAATTTGATTTAGTTGGAAAGATTTGAGGCCGCACTGGATCTCGGCTTATGAAGGCTTCCCACTAAAATGTGTCGGCTAAAAGCATCACAAATAATTTAAAGGTGCATAAAGCCAACATGACATACAGGGGTTTACTTTATAAAAATTAATTGGGACAAGAATCAGGAAAGTCTGGAAGACGCATTGTAAAGTTCCTTTGAAGCACATATTGCTGTAGTTTAGTACAGGAAATAGTGCTACATGTAATGATTGTACCCATAACATAACAGTATATTGCGGTGGAAACAAGACACGCAGGTCTGTGACTGGATCAATCTCTCTCTGGGTGGAAGCGTCACTCTGAAGAAAGGGTAGTGATTGATTGACAACGTTTTGTCAATAACAGTAACTGTCAACGTGTTGTGGTGTAATTGTTAATATCCATTTTTTTGGTCAGTGCAATCCCAATCGTTTATCAAAATGCAAAATCCAATTGCGAGGAAACCCCTAGCTCTTTCATAGTCACTGCCACAAACACCGATAGCTCCTCCACCACCATGACCTAACAAAATAAATATATAAAAAGCCCCAAAAATAGATAGAAAAGTAATTGATTAAATTTATCATAGGATAACAAGAAATTAATTCTCATTAGTTGAAAGAAAAGTAAATCTCTCTATTTAATTTGATGTTGTCAACTGACCTTTTCCGAAGAAGAAAAATCAGTGGCAGTGGAAATTGTTGGTAATTCTGGGTCTCGATAAAGGGACCGGACACCGGTGAGATAAAAAAAGTCTAAAACTAATCATTCCAAAATGCCAAAAGAAAAGACACACAATTCTTGAGGGTAATAAGATAAAATAAAAGAGAAACCCAAACTTTGTTAGCTAGATGGGTTTTCTTTTATGAGTGCATTAGTAAGTTTTTTTAGCCCTTATCACTGCTGCGGGAGCAAATCTGATAAATTAATATTACAGGCGCTTTCGTTGGAAGTTGGAAACAAGCATGAATGTGAGCTTGGTTAAGACGATAAAGTCAATTGACAGTGCTCGAATAATCTAAAAATTCAACAACACTCACACTTAGATTAGAAGAGATCAAAAGAAATGGAAGATTATAAGATATTAAAGAAGGAAGAACTTTTTTCATTATACAGTCAAAACCCAATGAACTTTCAAGGGCATAAAAAAAATTCAAATAAAAAGATTGTTAAATTAAACTTAAGTTTAGTGAGTGGATACTAGCTCAGATAAAACAGGAAACAATTAACTTGTGATGCTTGAATAGCTCCCCAGTAACCAGCGAAAAAGAAGTGGCACCCAACTTCATTTATTTTGATGCTATTATTATCACTATATTTTTTTCCGTAGGTTTCTAATAATTTTTAGGTGGGCTTGCCACGGCAGTTCATGTTCCCGTTCTTTGCCTTCCTTTAGGTATTTCTAAAACGTAGCACTCTTTTCTCCGGAGGTTCCGTTTGTTTAACGAAAAAAACAAATTTAATAGAAAAATTAATTCTTAAAAAATTTATTTTTTAAAAAATAATATTTTTTGTCATTTGATATTTACATAAAAATATTGTTGAAAAATATATTTCAATATTTGTTTAATACAGAAAATTAAAATACAAAAATAGTAGGTGATTGTTATATCAATAAACTTTGAGAAAACTTCAAAAAAGGCATATTCATAATTTCACAAATAGAAGACAAATTTAAAATTTTTTCATAAATAATGACTTTAAAATTTTAATTCAAAAAATAAAATATATTTTTTTAACCATTAAAGTAATTCATCAAAATTACTTTGTACAAAATCAAGTCAATTTTCACATGTAGTTAAAAAAAAAAATCTAATTAATTCTAGCATTGTTATTTTGGTAACTCAATTAAATTTTTTGTTTTAAGAAATTAAACTGATAATTTAGTCTAAAAAATAATTTTATAAATTATTAGTTATTATTTTTAGATAATTATTCATTTAGTTTCAAATGATTAATATTAGAATAATCTGTAACTAATTATTCACTACAATTACCAACAAAATTTTACAATTGATTAAAATTATAATTTATTGATTTAGTTGCAAATGAATAATGTTGGAAAAATATCGTATTTATTAATAAGTTAATTAATTTAATTTTTTTTACAAAAAATTACAATCTTGTAATAATCATTTTCAATCATTTAAGTATAGTTTAAGTGGGTTTTGAGATTATAGTAAAAACTATAGATAAATTATTGACATATTTATTATAAAAATAATTTTAAGGTATAAAACTGATTTTTAATAATATTTAATGTATCTATAAATTCAAAAATCAAATATTAGTAGCAATAAAGAAAAAATAATTAAATAATTAATAATAATTGATAAGAAATAATTAAAAATTAATTTGATATATTTTAAATAAAAAGAAGATAGAGAAAAAAATTGTTAAAATATATTGAGAAAAAGATAAGTACCGTGAGAGCGAGACAGTTCGTAAGAAGAAAAATATTTTCTTATTTTAATCGGGAAAACATTTTTTCAAAATATTTCATCTTTTTTGGTTGATTGGAAATCGTTTTCTGTGAATTTTTTTCTAAAGGTGAAACAAAAACTAAAAAAATAGAGAAAACAAATTTCTGAATTTTTTTTTCAAACAAACAAAGCCTAAATTATCCACATCACTGAGCATAGGCAGAATTAAACAAATCCGAACATAGAAAAATTGCTCAAGAAGAGTCATCTTCTTTAGATCAATCCTCGAGAACTACATATTACCCAACAACGTTGATTGATTGTTAATTTCTTGTCAAATTTTGTGAATGTACATTGACTCACTGTATACTTCATACCCACTAATGGTTTTAACTTCTACGTTGGGTGACATGACTCGAAAGATGAAAGGAGTTCGTATTTTTTGGACTATATCATCATTGTGCATTCGTTGCTGCATTTTTTATACCATTTTTGTCGTATGTTTAAACAAATTAGAAAGATGAACGGCTCTAATGACATTTTCAATGTTTTTTTATAATAAAAAAGTTTTATCTAAATTCTATCTCAAATATTTTCTTTATCACAATCTTTATTTTTAAAATTAAGATATAGAGTGTCTTTGGTTTTTCAATATTAGAGAGTTCAAATGATTATTTATCTTATATTTCGTTAATTAAAATTATTATTTTCTATGTCACTCAATCTCTTGACTTGTAGTCTTTTTGAGTTTTATGGATTTTATCAAAATAAAGAGTTTAAATAGAGAGTAGTATTAGAGAGAACATTGATCTTCAATCTATATAATTAATGATGCTCTCTATTTATATTAAAAATACTAATTAAAATTAAAAAACACCATTGAAGATGCTATAATTATCTTGGATTTTTCTTTTCAAAGCTCATTTGCTATCGTTGGTGTTTCTGTATGTTTATTTTATGTTTTTAGTTTTTAGTTTTCTTTGTTGAATAACAATTTTTTTTTTTTCAATATCCAAATCTCTTTGATCGGCATTCGAGCAAGTTAAACTCGAGCCATGTGAACCCATCGTGAGCTTGGTCTGACTCTTACATCCCCTCCGGTCGGGTCATCCAACATCGGCCTGAACCCTAGGTCCCTGACCTTGGCTCAACCCTTGAGTCACCCCTCTCCAACTCGAACTTCATTCCTGTTTAGCCATTGGCAGTCGTGCCCTTCAAACCTCTGGTTACACTATCCTACCCTTGTTACCGTTAAAGCATAAAGAAGTCCAAAAAGTCAAGTAAGCAAAGAGTATAAAAAATTCATCCTCCAAAAAGAGTAGTATACAAAAAAAACAAAAAAAAAAAAAAAAAACAAAAACAAAAACAAAAATCAAGTGAAAACACAAGAAAAGTGCAGCAAACCAAACCCAGCCACTACCTTACCCATCACCCACACAATACCTTCCTTCCAAGACATCCAAAGCACAATCCACAAAACCCAAAACAAAGCACTAAAATAGCTGTATTACCAGTAGTATACCTAATTTTATTTTTTTCCCATCTTTTCCTCTCTCACTTTCTCTCAATTCTTCTTTCCTTGAGAAAGTTAGAAGAAGAAAATTCAATTCCATTCCATCGTACAAACCCCACACTCAGAAACAAGTGAAAGAAAGAATTTGATTCTATTCTTTATAATTTCCCGTTTTGTCATGACAGAAACTATGGACACTACAGCCTCAACAACACCAAAACAACCACAAATCTCTGAAATGTTTTCAAAATTTGCACTAGCTTTCAAGACTAAAACTTTCGAATTCTTCGCTGATGAAACCACTAACGCCGATGAAATCTCCGACGCCGACGAGGGCTTCTCCCTCCTTGACTCCGCAGAGGATTTTATCCCTGACCAGAAAGTCATAATCTTGAAACCTGACCAACCCTTGAATCAAAATCAAGTCATTTTGCCACAGCAGGAGTTGACAGTGAAAAAGAGTGAGACCCAGATCAAGCCTTTGAATACCCAGCTGGTTAATACTCTAATTTCTTCAGTTTTTGCTACAGTTTCTTCATTTGAAGCTTCTTATTTGCAGTTACAAACTGCACATGTGCCTTTTAATGAAGAGAGCATTACAGTAGCTGATAAGGCTTTGGTTTCAGTTCTTCAGAGATTGTCTGATTTGAAGCAAGTTTATAAGGATTTGCGTAAGAATCCTGATTTTGGTGGTGATTTGCCAGTTGGGTCTTGTTCGGAAGCTCAAGTAGAAGAGAATCAAAGCAAGTTGAGAATTTTGGGGACGGTTTCTAATAGCTTGCAAGCAGAGATTGATCAAAGAGATAGTGAAGTTTCGGCCATGAAGAAGAAATTGAGTGAGGTACAAAAGTCTAATTCTTTATTGTCTAAGAGGTTGTGCAGTAGCTTGAATTTGAATTTGAATTTGAATTCTGAGGTTTTGTTGACTGTTAAGGTATTTGATTCTCTGTTAAGTGATGCTTGTAGAACAATGCATAAGTTCACTAAGGTTTTGGTTGATTTAATGAGAAAAGCTGGGTGGGATTTGGATATGGCGGCGAATTCTGTTCATCCTGATGTTGATTATGTGAAAAGAGGGCATAATCGTTACGCATTTTTGTCGTATGTTTGTTTGGAGATATTTAAAGGTTTTGATTTAATAGGGTTTGGCTTGGAGAGTGCGGGTGAAGTTTTATGTAACGGGCATGGCTCGGATTCTGTTAAGAGTAATAGTTCGTTGAAGCAATTACTTGAGCATGTATCTTGCAATCCTATGGAGTTGCTAAGTAGGAAACCTACGTGTGAGTTTTCGAGATTTTGTGAAAAGAAGTATCAAGAGCTTATACATCCGACAATGGAGTCTTCAATTTTCAGCAATTTGGATCAAAATGAAGCTGTGTTGAATTCGTGGAGGTCACTTAGTATGTTCTATGAGTCATTTGTTAACATGGCTAGTTCTGTATGGACACTTCATAAGCTGGCATTTTCTTTTGATCCTGTTGTCGATATTTTTCAAGTGGAAAGAGGGGTTGATTTTTCTATGGTGTATATGGAAGATGTCACGAGGAGGTGCACCGTGCCAAGTAAAACCAGGCTGAAGGTGGGGTTCACAGTGGTTCCAGGATTTAAAATCGGAAGAACAGTTATCCAATCTCAGGTTTATTTATGTGGCCTGACATGTACAGAGTAATTGTTTATGTTTTCTGCCTACGCAAATTAATTTTTGTTTTGCTTGGAATCACCACACTAAATTCAAACATGGATGTTTTCAATTGCGGCCAAACTACAGTGATGCAAGAATCCGAAGGATTCAGGATAGGGTTTTAATGCATACACTAGTTAAGTATGCTCAAGGAGGAATTGGAAATATATATACGCTCAGACAAGCCAGGTATTTGCTGTGCTGTTTTGCCAGGCATTAGGAGCAACTATGGTATGCAGTTGGCTATCTTTTGATGTGCAGTTATAGGGTTATACTTACAGTTAGGTTGTGAATTTACACGCACCCCTTTCATCTTTCTTTCCTTGTGCTAAGTCCCATGTAAAAATGGCTGTAAATGTATGTTTTTAACTTCCCTGTTTTTGGTATTGATTGCAAGCTCTCTTCTGACACAAAATATATTACCAAAATATGTATCTGACCTCGTCCTCTTTCAGTACAGAACAATTTACTTGCAATGGAAAGTTGAGCTATAACATGGTTCTGTTCATCATAAATTGTGTGTTAAAGCTATATTTGTTAAGTGCCTGAGAACTGACTTCTTAGATTTTTAATCAATGGTGTGGTTTATATTCCAATTTCTTTTTATCCAAGTAGCGTGGAGTTCTTTTGGGTTTTGGATGGATAATGTTCATCCATTTTTTCTTCCTTTTGGCTGCTTAGAACCTCTGTATTAGATATTATGTGACGCAATTAGCTTGAGAATCCATCAGTTCATAACACATCTGCTGACTCGACCATTTGCATTTTAGCTTCTGCTATTGTTTTGGTTGTTCAATTTTATGCTTAGTTTGATGTGTCTGAGCTTAAAGATTTTGCCCTCTTTTAACCCCGTGTTATATGTCAAAAAGAAAGTTGTAGATATGAGTATTTAACAAAGTTGGCTTCTTGTTTGTTGCTGCATTGATTTAGTTGTTCTTTGGCTAGCTTGTTAATGTAGGGTTTATGGTTGACCCCATGGGGTGATGGCTGTATTGTGAGTTCTTCTCTGATGAATAATGTGTTAGTGAATTTGTTTATTTATTTATTTGTTGGACCAATGGTCTTTAAATGATAATGGAGTGTAAAATTCCAGTTAGCCAATTGCATTGTTCGATGAACTATCTCATTACGGACGAAGGCTTCTGGAATGTGGGAACTATCAGCATTTGTTTATTCTGTTTGGTGGTTTACATTGCACAAGTTTGTTTTGCTTATCTCTGTAAAGTTGGTGTTTTGTGATGGGTTCTTCACTAATGAATGTTATGAAAACTAATCTACTCATGCTGTATTTTTTTTCCCCTCTTTTTTTGGGTCTTTTGTATTGAAATGAACAAATGGTGTTTAGGCTTCCAAATGAGGTCAGTCAATTGTTCATTTAATGATCTAATTACTAAACCATCAGTGAGTGCTCATCTGTTTTGTTTGCTTACATGCACAAGTGTGCGTTAGTGTTGATGACATGATATCATCCAGCACGCAAACCCCAACCCCCCCCCCCCCCCCCCCCCCGGTTTTCCCTCCTGTGCTGTTTCTCCTTCTTGTGTCGCAACTATTCACGTAGTTGTTTGTTTCAAATGGCTCAGGTTCAGGGTTTATGTTTCTGTAGAATAGCTAGGTAATAAATCATTGTGGAATATCTGGGTTTACTCCTCCATGGTTCTGCAGTCCAACTAGGGTTCATCCAAGTGTAAGATAGAAGTCTCTTGGTCAACGATCCCAGGTGCCACATGAAATGCCACTAATCGGTACTAAGCAATTACGAGTTGTCATCGAGAAGTGTAGTTCAGGTTGCTGGTTTTATGCATGTGGTAGAACGGGTACACTCCCTATAATCTATAATGTTTTAATTGTTGGTTGTCTATTTTTAATGCACGTTTAAACTGGGCAGATCAATCAGTATTCAGCATTAGCTATCACTGAATACTGGTTTCGCCTTCTTCGTGAATTTCAGGCCTTTGTGGTTGACCCCTGACTCCGCTAACTAGGACCTGGTTTGGTTTTTCTTACATGCTCAGATTATGCACTATTTATAACTCCTGTTTACCGTCTTGAACCTGATCTACTTGCTATGGATGCTTCATTTTAGAAATCCAGTAATGAAATCTCCATCAGCAAAAAGGACAAGTAACAAAAGTACAAATTGTTTTCACAAAAAAAAATTAAATAATTTCGTATGTGCGGAACATGTGCCTTAAAACATGTCCTATTCCGTACGCAAGGAGGATTAGCAGAGCTCAGCTTTCCTTTCCACATTTAGATTTTCAAAACCTTTTTGTTTATGAAATACTAATATATAGTTTAATCATCCATTCTTTTCGCCGCTCCTGTACTTGCTTTGGGGTTCTTCTCTAATGAATGCCAGGTATTGGGTTCTTCTCGAACGATGAACAACAATCATCTTAATCCTTGCTAAAGGGTCTGGATATCTAGTAGGAACAATGACTATTAGCTTTTTTAACATTAGTTTCTGCATACCAACGTCACTGTTTTTGTTCGTTTCTAAAACAGAGATTCTCCTTTTAATCTGTCACGTTTTTATTGGTCAAGCCTTTCCTGTGAATTTAATTATTAATCAACAAGGTCTTGTTAGTTGATATTTGACGCCATCAATACTAGGAAACCTGGTTTACCTGCTACGCATGCCTCATTATAGAAATCCGTCTATGGAATTCAATCAGCCATAAGCAACGAACTATAACTATTTTTTTTTTCAGTAAATTAAAGCTCGGCCCTTATATTTTTAAGAAATTTAAATTTTAGTTCCTTTATTTCAAAAAAATCATATTCTAATCTTTTTAATTTCATTTATTTTTATAACTAATAACTTTCCTGCTTCCTCGTTGCTCAGGTACTTTAGTAAGTTGACGGTCAAAGTTGGTCAAGGAATTAATGTAAGATTCTGAAATTGAAGGATTGAAACAACTAATATTTTACGAAGCAGGGACTATAGTCCCCAAAATTTACTCAAATTTTTTTAATTAATTGTGAGGAACATGTGCTTAAAAATGCCTTATTCCGTTATCAAGAAAGGAACAACTCAAGTTCCCCTCCTCTCCACCGGTAGATTTTTAAATCTATTTTGATTACTGAACATACTAATCCGAAGTTTATAAAGAAAGCGGTGAAGCCCAGCTCTTGTTTTCCACTGACTTGAGAATACTTAGCATACGGTGGATTAAGGTTGCGATATTTTAGTTTCCTTTGTTCAACCAAATCAATTGCCATTACCTCTAGTAGTTTTCTTTGTTCAACCAGATCAAACATGCCTTTTCTTATTGGAGAAAACCTACAATCTCTCTTACAACTAGACAACCACAAGTAGGTGAGCAAGAACAACAAATCTAGTATTATCTTCATTGTTGATCCCAATTCAACCCATCATCGAAAAGTGAAGGAGGAATCTGATGTCCTAGTACAATCGGATACTAGTCCTATCATCATACCGATGGGTCTTGCCTAAGTGTGTATAATGCTCTCAACTTAGGACTTAGATAGATCGAAGGTATTATCGACATTGATTTACATTCATAGTATAATGGATATAAGCCAAGAAGCCTCCTCTCTCTAACATTATAGTTTGTCAACGAAAGTGGGTATTTACTACATTAGGTCCCTACGGAATATGGGGTACTAGGTCCTCTTAAACCTAATTTGGGTGTAAATTTTTCTTCCTTAACCTTAAGTTCGATTAAGGCTACGTTGTTTCTTTTAAGCCTTTGCTAGTTTCATTTCAACTTCCTCTAATAATTTAGCCATTTTATTTTCTTTTAGTCTTGTCCTTAACATTCCTACCTAATTCCTTACTTGTCGTTTTGATTTACAATCATTTTTATAATCCTATCAATTATACCATCCTATTCATATTAGTCATTTAAGCACTCATGAGCTACAACTAACAAAGTTTACATAATAATAACTTAACCTTTAATTAACACTTTCATTTACATTAAAACAATATTTGTTTAATTGATCACATTTAGACCAAAAATGCCTAACTTGCTTTACATATACCAAAAAATTAAGCTATGCCATATATAATTTTCCATACTCATTGACCCAAAACCAAACCACACAAAATGGCAAGTCCATCACTTGTCTTGGCGACGATCATTCATTTATCTTTATCATTTCCTACACCATAAGAAAACAATGGTGAGCAAAAGAATGCTCGGTAAGTGTAATTCATGCAATGCATGTGATGTTCTTTATGAATGAATGCACATGATACATCTTTAATAAAATCCTTTTCATGCCTTTAAAACCATTTTTCTTTTCCTTTTTGGGTGCATCCTTTTCTTTATCATATCTTCGATTGGGGCTTTCACCAAATCCCTCAATCATCGAGGCTTTTACCGAATCTCTTGACGAAGAAATGCCTTTACCACATTCTTCGGTTAGGGCTTTCATCAAATCCCTTAACTATCGAGGCCTTTATCGAATCCCTCGACAAAGAAGTGGGCTAATTTCTTCGATTGGAGCTTTCACCAAACCCCCTAAATGTCTAAACCTTTACCGAATCTCTCGACGAAGAAATGACATTTTCATGAAAATCATAAAAAAACTTTTTTTTCCTTTCATGACAATATTTTCCCTTTCCTTTCATCAAAATCATGAATAAAATTCATCTTTCATAATAATAATATGCATATGCATTTTTAAATGAAATGCAATGCCATGAACGTTACCTCATCATGCATACCTTTTAAAATTCCTCAAGAATATGAGCACAAATGATGTATCCAATACACGTTCCAAATATATAAGTATGCATAAAATAGGAATATACACCATGAACAATCAAATGTCATGGAAAGCATCATAATCGAACATTTTTCATACAAACATGTCCAATCACAATAAGCATCATAAATAATTATTTTCATATGCATATAACCTTTTTCATATTATTTATACCTCCAAACCTCACTTTTGACAATTTCCTCTTTATCCTTGTTTTTCATGCTTAACCAAATTTGAGCTAAGTGAAG